AATGAAAAGAAAATGAATTTATTCTTTATCAATTTTGTCTGATTAATGCATTATAACAGAAAAAAAATTGTGAAAGTTTTTTTAGAAGGGAAAAGGGGGGGGGGATCTAACATTTACAAATTCTTTTGTACACACATATGAGATAAAACTTAAACATGTGTATAACATGTGTATATGAATACACATACTTTTTATATAAATTAAACATGTATAATTCAAATAATTGAATATTTATTTTTTTCTTTTTCAAGCAATGCTAAACCTTATCAAACTTGATCACCAATGCCAAGTATATACCTTTAGCTTTGCCTTTGTATAAGGCTTGTACATGCGGGTGAAGATATAAATACATAGACTATGTATTATTTCACTGTGGATATGAGTTAGTATGACAATCCTAATAAATTCATTTAAAAAATAACACCCTCTGATAAAAGAATGGCAATTATTCCATACACATGACAATTAAAAGATTCTTTCTTTTCCCTCTCCCGACTCAGTACTAAAAACAGATCAATAGGAATGTTTTCAAAAATATTCAATATACTTTTTGAAAATATGAGAATATTTTAGGAAAAACGAGCTCTTGCAGATAAAAACATGTTTGAATACGCGAGTGTTAAGCAATCGGATGGAGAGGGCACACAAACAATGTTTTAAAGATGGTCAGTGATTGTACTGCTATCATATAAAAACGTTTTACGTTTTATATCAAAAACAGCTAATTATAATCAGTTAAGTTCCTTCTGTTTAATTAATAATATTTTTTAATCTTTTCACGACCATTCCGTGTTGAAAAAAATCCCAGAAAGTTGATTGAACAAGCAGAAAAGCCCTTGAATGATTTAGGACGAATGATTCTTCATTGTATATATATATATATATATCGAATTACTTCCATAGCAGACCATTTATATTAATAAGGAAATCCAATCCCCATATACACTGTACCTTACCAACGTAGCCAGGTAATTACATGTATATAGTGAGGACTTGTATTGGAAGCATTATTGTTGTTTGAAGGGTTAATGTTCTCTAGAAAATTGTCGAAAATTGTGTCCCGACTTCTTAGTGAACACATGTTAAGCTTAATATCATTATAGTCTACTTTTGTGCCATCTTTTTTCAGTATTTTTTTTGTTGTAGTCCAACGATTTCGTTTGACGTATATACGTGTTTATAACTGTTTGATTTATGACAATAAGAAAAAATCTTTTAATTTTTTTTAAACTAATCATGTTTGAGCTCAGCTGATATATAATAAAAAATCATAATGCATACAAGAATAAACGTGGTAAGATTCGTATGGCACATCCTTATGTAATCAAATCGTTCGTGAATAAAGTACTTGTCAGTCGTTTCACTTTACGTCCACCTGTAAACTGTTAACAAATTTTAAGCTTAATTTAAAAGAAAACTGTACCATTTTCATAATTCTCGAAAGCATTCCTTAGACAAAAGGATTTAGACTTGTTCAAAAAGGGACATATCCTATTTCAAGGTGAGAACCATATTATAATAAAGAAGTTACAGTTGTGAATATATTGTTATCGAAACATACTGTTATAAAAAATCAAAGCTTTTTATTTGCTTTGAAATCATTTTCAAAACATTTTAACAAGTGTGAATTCAAAATAGTTCAATCAAAGGTCAAACATATATGTAGAAGCTAAGGTTTGGACTACCTAAAGGTGTTGCATACGGTAATATAGGGTATACACAGGAAAATAATTTAAGAATTTTTTTTTCTGAAGAAAACAGTCTCGGTCAAAATATCTACGAGGGGTTATCAAAAAGTCCGTGGACTGAGGCTATAAAATTAGTACTATGTCGTCTGAGCTTACAAAATTTATAAGGAACATAAAACAATAAAAACTAGAGGTACTGTGAGCGATGGGCTCACTAAATGATACCCCCCGCCTCCCATATGTGTATAAATGGCAGTGCCCATGTTTTGCTATGGGAAACCCAAAATATGTGTCGGATCAAAAAGTAAAATAGGAGGTGCACAATGGCAATATGTAATAAAGATTCTGTGAAAGTGTCATCAAATTTCATTTAGTGGTATAAGAGGAGTTGCGGATAAGAGATGTGTACTCCAAAGCGTAACAGACAGACGGACAGACAGACAGACGGACGGACGGACGGACGGAATTAACGATTACTATATATACCCTCCCGCTTTTTAAGCAGGGGGTATAAAAAAAGACATACTAAAAATTTTAGCTTGATTTGGTCATTATTTCCCAAATTATTATAAAATAAACAAGACATGATATGATCACCAGGCGCCGTCGCCATTTAGTCTCATGACGTCCGACAACGTCATTATTATACCCCCCGCTTGAAAAGCGGGAGGGTATATAGTAATCGTTAATTCCGTCCGTCTGTACGTCCGTCCGTCCGTCCGTCTGTTACGCTTTGGGGTACCCATCTCTTATCCGCAACTCCTCTCATACCACTGACGGAAATTTGATGCAACTTTCACAGAATCTTTATTACATATTGCCATTGTGCACCTTTTATTTTACTTTTTGATCCGACACATATTTTGGGTTTTCCGGCCACAGGAAAACATAGAATTTTTCACCAGTTATAACCATATGGGAGGCGGGGGTATCATTTAGTGAGCTCATCGCTCACAGTACCTCTAGTTTAAACATTTCCTAGGTGTATACAAGTGTTTCCAGGGGCAAAACTTTATAAATTGTTGGAAAAGGAAACCCCTCCCCCTTTTGACGTCATTTTCAAGGCAATATTTGTTTCGATACTCCGTGTAAAATTTACGATAAAATTTCATAGATCTTCCAGAATGAGGGAAAAATTTAATATTTTATGAAAAAATAGTGTCATAACATATACCTGAACTTACGGGATATTTGGATGTCAAATGTTCATATCAAAATAGTTTTTCTTAGTTACAATTAGGTCGGAAAAAAACGTCGTTTTCGAGGTTGCGCCGCATGGACCTACCATTGCTTACAAAGCATTATTAATTTATTTAAAAAATAAATTTTATGATTTGTGATTTATTCTATAAATAGAAAAGATTATGATAACTAAAAATTTTAAAATTCATTGATGTAGCTAAAGCGGTTTTAATTTTATGGCGCTAGTCCACGAACTTTTTGATAACCCCTCGTATATACAAGTGAAGAGATTATAAAATTTTCCTATCATACTTGTATTCTAACGGAATTTTGGAGCTGAGTAAGAAATCAAACTTTTACATATTACAGTAAGGGAAAAATCTTATAATTTTCAAAGTAATTTTAGAGAAATACATGTAACTTCATAAACATTTTGATATTGATGTCATATCAATATACAAGCTTCCTTCAGTGGCACAGATTCAACTTTGCAGTTAAAATCCCCGCGGGGGCGAAAGTGATTATATTAAAAAATTCAGTTTATTAAAATGACATTGGAACCTTTGATTGGATAGAGACTAAATTCCTTGATCAAAAGTATACAGGAAAAGATTTTCTTGATAAATATTCATTTTTTATTCTGATACATGTATTTCAACATGTATACATGTACCAGTTAATCGGGGCATAGTGTTTCACAAACACAACTTGTACACATAATTATGTATTTCTTTTTTTTTAACCTTAGTGTTTGACATTCATTTACAATAACCTTATCTAATCTAATACATGCAGGGTCATAAGGGTTTCACACACACATCTTTTTCATCTTCTGTTCAAATCAACATTCAATTGCCGAACATCAGACTGTTTTTCCTAACATCTATAGCTTATATTGGTTTAGAAATTGTACGTCTAAAGATCATGCTCGTGGGTAAACTAAACGTATCACAAATTGAGAACAATGTTTTTTAATCCTTTGAAAAAATCACAAAATAACCACCTTAACTATTCTGAGGGAAGAATTGTGATTTTGCATAAAGAATCATAAGAGAAGTGTAGAATCGTACGCATGAATGATCGTTCATGTAACTCGTTAAAGCGTGTGTTAATTGTGCAGAATCACTCCTGTTACGGGATCGTTCGTATTTGTTGTTATTAATAAAACTGTATCCACTTTATCTCCCTAATTTTACGATACTCTAGGGCATACTTCGAGTAACATTAATTTTTGAAACATGCTAATGACAGATAAGTTGATGTCACAGATATTTCAAAACTCTCGTTGAAGTCAGCATTTCGTAAATTCGTTATAATGACTTTGTTGGAAGTAGAACCTCTCACATGTTCGAATGTTATTTCAGAACAATTGTTACACCTTTTATAGTATTTTGAATTTAACTTTGTCTCCTTATGAGTGAAATTCCCAAGGGGGACGTTAAACAACAAACAGCAGAACACACCTCAGAATGTTCCCTATACCTAATCTATGCAAGGGTTAACTGCAGATATGTGAGTCAACAGGGGGTTCTTAGTCCCTATCTCTACTCTGGAATTTCCAGGGGCCCGTGTGTTATGTGCACATGTAACTAACACATTTGTGTTAATCATTGATTTTTTTTTTCGATCGCTCCTTGTTATGTTAATCTTGTCAAATTTGTAATTATATTTACTTTTTTCTATTACTAACTTAATGAGAAAGAAAAGAATTCTATCTGTCTAAATTTTAACGTTTACATTTGTTGTATTTTTAATGTATACAGAAGTGGCCAATATTATAAATTATTATGAACAGGTCACCTTTTATCTTCAATACACGGGGTATTCAATACGTTGGTATATGTAATCAATGTCGTCGGATAAACAATTTTCAACAAGGCAAATTACTTATCCGAATATGAAATTTGCTGAGCATATTCTGAACCTGAAGCTTGAAAGAATGTATTATTTCTGAAATAAATTATTTGTGTTTATTTTCTTTTTGTTTTACATGCAGCTGTATTCCAAACACGTATCCTATTTATTTTTGTTTACTTTGTTATCTGGATTTTTACTACTTCATACGTGTTTATCATTTATCTGTGTAACTATCTGGTTAAGCGTTTCGACTATTAACTTACTCATGCAGGAGGTGGTGAATCCGCCATATTACTATTCTTCTTTAACAAAAGATATATCGGAACTTTTACTATTTCAAAGTTATTTATTGAGGTAAACATTAACACTAATGTGTTTAAGACAGTTAGACAAGACAACGTCCCATTATGCCAATGGAACGAAACAAGACAATGGTATATCTTTGGATTTTCCTTACCACACTGTTTTGCTGGATAGTAAAATGTGTAAGTTAAAATTACGGATTCTTGATTTGAAAATACTTATTTTACTTCTGCTTTTCCATAATGTGCTGATTAAACACCTTTCGACCTAGTTATACAATGTATATTGGTGTGAAATGCTAATGAGTCTTCAATTTTTTGTTTGCACCAGCAGTCCTCGAAAGTGCTCGTATTTCCGGGAGTCATCACTATGAGTAATGTCATTTCCTTTATTTAGTTGTGGAAATCGAATATTCTCGTCATATGGACGGTTAGTTATGTATAAACCCCGAAAACTGTATCTTTAGCTTGGTAGTGGAATCGGTTGAAGATAAAAATCAAATACCTTGACAACTGAATTACATTGTATTTTTATTATTAAGACAGATGGGTTACATTATCAATATCATGCAGTTCTTTCAGACGACCTATTAAATAGGGAAAAAAGTGTTTCAATATCAAATTAAACGAGAAAAAATAGGGGGGGGGGGGTTAAGCCCCCCATTGCCTGTGGTCGCGCAATGCTGTGGACAAGTCAATCTTTTCAACTTACAATATGGTGTTTGCTTACATGGAGATTTTATAAAACCTCTCTTATTTTAATCTTTATTTTGCAACGAATATATGAATGATTATTAATTTGAGATGTTTATTATTACAACATTTGTATCAATCGAACACGTGATTACTCGGTGGTTATGTAGACTTTCAGTTACATTTTCTATTGTACCTGTATTCATAGAATACAAAAATGTGCAATGAAGTCGTATTTTTTCAGTTCATTGAATAGCAGGTTTGGTTAATTTTTATAAAACGATAACTGTAACAAAATGGCACACCCGTGATCGAAGGAGGTTAAAATGAATATTCGTAAAATGTTTAGTAGACCCTCTCTCTGTTTCGTGTACAAGGAAATTTCATGTTATTTTGATAGAGAGATTTAATACACAGGGCCGTTATCTACATACATGTACGATCAATGTCTCAATCGAGCCTCGATATTGAGAAGTAAGTTGATGAAACGAGGATATCAAGATCAACTTTTTAAGACCACAGTTCGCAAATTCTGTCGATATAATGAATTTATTTGCAAATACAATTTATCGTTAAGTGAATATTTACTGACTGGCCCCCTTTAAGATGATTATAAGCCCATATTTTCACAATAAATTGTCTATTGAATTTTCGTTTATTCGATTTTAAAAGAGACTACAGATGTGTCTCTGTTGATCTATTGTTATTGTTTTGTCCATCATTATTTATCTTTAGAAACAGATCTTTCATTGTGTATGTACATAAATTGCATCAGAGGTTGTGCTTTATATGAAATATTGCAAAAAAATACTTCAATTTTAGACCATTTTTAAGGAATTTACAGGATATGATGAAAATGACGCATTTCATGACGTCACAATACGTCTCGTCTTGATCAATAAATACGTGATCACCAACACTCCAGATGATGAATACTGCATTTGCAACCTAAACTGAACGGTTTTGACTTTTAGAAATTCTCAGGGCCAAATAAGGCACAAAACGGCTCTCAATACTTTAATTCCTTTTAATACTTTTACTAAATCTATGTCAAAATTTTAAATATGGAATATCCCTATGGAATACCCAAATTAAAAACATAAATTTTATTTTAAATTAAAAGGGTAAACTGAGCGGCTATTCTTTCCCAGTGTATGCCACATTATCTTGTCCCAGGAACCAATCAGAATGGAGAAATAGGTCATCTGACCTAAACTGTACAGAGAGTAATGGATACATGTGTATACCTAACGAGAACATTACACAGCTGTTGGAGTTTTGTTACAGATATCCAAAGATACCAGTTGAAAAGAGTAAAAACATTTCAAATGGCAATTTGATTTAAAACTTTTTAAAGGAGAATTTGTAAATGTAAAGTAAACACTAAACATTGTTGACATTATTGAATTGGCGATAACTATGATTCATAGTTCAAAAAATCAAATTGATCGTTGTACATGTAAGTAATGTAATGATGCATTATTATTAACACATCATATTAACGCATCAGCTTTTTATTTTGCAAGTATTCTCTCGCAACTTTCATAAGTCCAAACTTTTTAATAATGACAGTATTACATTGAATACATAGGTATATGTTTGATCCTGAAGAAATCTACATTTCTTGTTGATGCCTACAGCTGTAAACAATTTAGAAATGGATGCCCCAATAAGTTGTATTGGAGTGATGAAGTCTTTAAATGTACGTATAATGTATAAAGTATGTTTTTCACACATTCTTAGACGGTCATTAAAAAGGTTACATATAAAAATATGCAAAGATACATGTACACTGTACTAAAAAACAAAATATGTCTTCAAAATTTTGTTAAGACTTATGGTATAAACTTTAATTTTGTCATGACGTGTCATTTGAAAAGCTGTAAATCGTATAAAAAAGAAAAATAAGTGTGTCTCCGATGTAGATTGATAACTGGCTTAGGACTGTAAAAATCGGAACAGAGATAGAACATAATCCAATGTGATCTTGAATACTAAGCATTGTGTTTTTATGAAATTTAGATGTTATCTATATACTGTAAAAACACAAATATTTGTGGGAATTAAATTTCGTTTATTTCGTTGTTAATAATTTTCAACGAAATTAAATTCCACAACGATGTTTTTATTACTATAATTTGAATAGGGGTACATTTAAAACAATGAAACTAAAGGCCCACGAAACTATTGTTGATGACAAATCAACGAAATGATCCCCACGTAACCTTTTGCTTCTACAGTATTTATTTATTTAATTTTTAGATCAAAGTTGCCTTTCTATTGGAAACAGATGCTTTCTTGCTGAGCCTCTCTGTACTGAAAAAAGGTACATATGTATGTGATTAGTTTTTCTGCCTCAGATGGTTCAAAATATCCGCTTTGTACAAAAACCCTCTTTTTTGTCATTCGCTGTTTGTTAACTTTTAATTTTTTTATTTATACTCCAGAACCGTTAGGTCAAACTTTAGATAGTTTATCTAACAAAGTATTCGCCGATCAAGGGAGAATGATACCGACGTAATAAATATACTATCATTAAAAAAGAGTCTTTCAAAAAGAAAAAAAAATGTCATTTTTCTAGGAAGTATAACCCTTACATATGCATCTCCTACTGTTTATCTCAAATATTGTTTGTTCAAGGTCGATTATTTTCTTTTTTACATTTTTATTGCTTAAATTCTACCCCCATCGTGCTTAAAATACATCATTCTTATTTAAAAAAAAACTTCGTGTACAACAGTCCATCTAAGTAAAAGATTTTGTTTATTGCGGAGATTTGAATTTGTCTAATCTTAACCCAACTGAAGTAAAGTGAAAATTCAAACTTGTCTTTAAAAAAAAAATTAAAAACAAAACAATCTAAAATCTGTCATACTCCAGAGTAAATAACAGTGAACATTCAAAATGTTCTGTAAGACAAGGAGACACATTGAAATCCCCCGGACTTTCTTTCTCTCTGTGATTTAAAAATAGTCGTATATATGATACAGTTAAATACTGATTTATCTTGAAAAAATCAAGTTTCTTAAACCTCAAAACAATTAATAGTTAGAGTTTTCTCTCATGTAATGGATATTAATACAGTCTCAAATATGCAGGGTTGAACGATTTATGATTCATTAGTGCTTTTATATGGAAAAATAATATTTTTGCTTTTAAATAGAATTGCAACAATTGGACCTACAGAAACCAAGGGTGACGTCAGGGCAGGGGATGTTAATGAAAACAATTCATGGGTTTGGATCCTAGTTACAGGCGTATTTCTGCTGTTTTTACTCATAGCTATCTGTGTGCTTGTTATCATTAGAGGAGGAAAACAGAAGACTTCTGTCGGTATTAAAATATCTAAATAAGAAAGAAAAAAAAAAGAAATCCCTACGCAGCAGACTCTCATTCACCTCTACTTAGTGTGTTTCAAGATTTTAATTGATTTGATTATTTCAATATTAACTGGTCTACTACCGATATTAAGATTTTCATCTAATTCATTATCCACAATGCAACTTTAGTCCGAATGTGTAATTTGTGTGTTTCTATTCAATGCATCTTAGAAAAAAAGTCATTCTTTAGTTTAAAATACAATAGAATTTATTCAAAATAGTTAAAATAGACACCGAACTGATTGAAAATCAAACGGATATATATTTTTTACATGATATTATAAATCTGCTATTTTTTTTTCTTTTTAATTCAGTGGCGAAGACTCAAAATGGGGAGGATGATATTCCCTCTAGAAGACACAGCTTAAGAGAAAGAGATATAGATAATATGGGTAAATATGTCCCGTTCATGTCTTTTACTTTATTTATTCAGTGACAATGTAAATAAATAACGAACAGTGGTCGATCTTATCAATCTAAAAAAGAAAAAAAAATTAAGAATTGTAAGAAGGGCATACAACACGGATGGGAACTTCAGAGGGGGGATCAAGTCTCTAAGAGGAGTAAGCAACTTTTCTTGATCAGTCACAATCGCTTTTAGCCCTATTGCTCACGTAGACAGAACATTCAGAAGTCAAATTTAGTTTTTAAATAAAGCTTACAAATTGGGATGAAAAATGTCAGGCAAAATATATCCCAATGATAAGTTTTATTTGCTAACAAGCTTTAGGTCATTTAAAGAACACGGATTCTACGAAATGATGACTGTAAACTAGGTTACTGATATCTATTTTGAATATCAACACCTTTTTGTCGGTAGCTTGCCTCGGTTAAAACAATTATGATACTTAGAAATAAAAGGTCAATGGGCCTTACAGGTCACCTGAGTATCATGTAATAACTTTCCTACAATTGAATTTGTACCCTGAACCCAGGGGCCATGGAATTAACCATTTTGGCAAAGACACTTTTTACATCATAAATATGTTCTCAAATCATTTGCATTATACCAAAGAGCATATGACAAAAAAATCAAAGAATTAATGCATTTTCACTATATAATCATTATAACCACACCCAAACACCAGAACCCCTACCCAAGGGCCACAAAATTCTGCATTTTGAAAAAATCATTCTCACTCATTTTAACAAAGTTCTTAGTTTTTATCCCAATAATACCCAGGAGCAGAGAAGAAGATTTTCAAGGAATTAGTGTATGTTCATTTATCTATATAACCAATAGAATAGAATATAACACCAGAACCCACGACCAAAGGGCCAGGAAATTCACAATTTGAAAGAGGCATACTAATTCAACGCAACTATGAACTTGGTTACACATGTAGTTTATTTAATGCCCAAGAGCAGAGAAGATTTTTTTAGAAGAATTAATGCATTTTCACTTTATAATCAAAAGAGCCCTGCCTTGAACAACTGACCAAAGGGCAATGGTTTTCACAATTTTGGTAGAGGCAATCTCGCTCATTATAACTATGAACTTACACATATAGTTAGTTTGTTTAATACCCAGGAACAAGGAAGTCTAGTTTCAAAGGATTAATGTATTTTCACTATATAATCAGTAGAACCACGCCCCAACATCAGAACTCCTGCACCAGGGGCAATGAATTTATCAATCTTGGAAGAGGCATCCTTATTCATCATAACGATGTACATGTTTGTTTATTTCATGACTAGGAACAGATCAAGAGAGGAAGATTTTTCAAGAAAAATTAATCGTCACTATGATATTAATCGCGCCCCGTCCTACATGTAAAACCATAATCCCCGACCCTGAGGCCATTAAATTAACAGTTTTCGAAGAGGCAGCCTTATTCAACATAACAATGTATTTGTTTATTTTATTTAATGTCCAGGAGCAGAGATGAAGATTTTCAAATAATTAATGCATCTTCACAATATTATAAAAAGGGTTCTGTCCTAACACCAGAAAAACTGACCCAGGGGCTATGACTTTCGCAATTTTGGTAGAGGCATTCTCGCTCATTATAACTTTGTACATAGATTGTTTAAAACCCAGGAGCAGAGAAGAAGATTTTCAAGGAATAAATAAATATTCACAATATAATCAACAGAGCCCCACTCTAACATCAGAACCCTAACCCAGTGACCATGAATTTAACAATTTTAGTAGAGGACTCAATGCTGATTCCAATCTTGCCAACAGTTTTACTGCCTGATGTCCAGGAGTATAGAACCATATTTTTAAAGGTTGATTTAAGTTGTTTTGGCCGCACCCCTCAGGCCCCAGAGGGGCAAGGACAATGATTTTTTTTATTTCCCTTCAACCATAGATGCTTTGTGCTAAACTTGGTTGAGATTGGTAGAGCGGTAGCGGAGAAGAGGCTGAAAATGTCTAAATAATAACACAGAACGAACGACGCAGGACGACGACGGACGAAAACCTTAACGTAGGTCGCGGGTTTGCTGACGTCATTAAAACTGGGTACGCAATTTATATGATTTGGACGACTTTCTTGTGCACATCTGATTATGACGTCACGGTGAGAAAGGGAAAAATACAGTACATTATCTAGCTATACCTTTTATTGAAATTGGTTGTTTAGTGTAACCGTATACATAGAACATGCTGAAGTTATAAAAAATAATGAAGGCCTATTTTGATTCGAATGACCATCACTGAAAGTGTTAGAAAGCGTTTCATTATGTGTTATCAATCACATTATGTGTTTTCAAACGCATATTCTCGGGTCTATTCTGAGAGCACATGTACTTGTTTCGGAAATAAATTTTAACCCTTGTATCTAATATGATTTATAAATATTAAATACATGTATTAAATATGTATAATTATAAAACAGGTTATCTAACTCCGATTTACACTCGATTCCCCCTCCTCAGAAACGCACTCATTTTAGTGTACACTTTCAGTGGAAAAGCACTAACAAATTGTTTATTGCCATTGTTATCTACACAACCATATATGGCTGGCTGCAGTTCTGTAGCTCTCCGAAAAAATAATTTGACAGACCGGAGAGCTACAGTGCCACCCATTGAAAAAACTGTATATTTATTGCGCACAAAAATGTGCGCTGTTTATCGATTTATTTCTCCATGTTTTTAAAAATATAATTTCAAAATATTGCTAGCCGTGTACATGTATTCTCAACATAAGCTTTCACTGTTTTCACAACAAAACATACCTTACAGTTGCTGTTTATAGCCCTCCTTGCCCTGAAGTCGAGATCATAGAAAATTTCGTCTGTTTATACCGTCTTTTGGTTTGTTAGATAATTTGGCCTAACGCACTTCGTGTAGATGTCAACTACGAGAGTACTTGATAGAAGAGTAGGGAATTTTTTGAAATCTAATTTTTTTGCAATTGAGGTAAGAATTTGGAAGAATTAATCCATACACAAGCGCAAGTTTTTTGCGCAATAAATATTAAGTTACAGTTTTTCAATGCGTGGCACTGTAGCTCTCCGGTCTATCAATATATTTTTCGGAGAGCTACAGTTCTGCAGCTTATATATGGCATGCCTTTGTTTTCATTTATCTCCGTAAACAGCGTCAAAACTCGGCACACCGATGGAAAGTCGAACTCAATTATGAAAAGGTATGTGCTAATCTCGGACAAATCTATATACAGGTTGATCACAAATTAAAAACTGCTAAGGCACTTCCGGGGTAATACTAATGAAAAATAAACTAAATTATACACATTTTTTGAGCGGCACTGACCTCTTGTAAATAACCACAGGCACGTAGGATATGAACCCCCCCTCCTTTCCATTTACGTGCTACATGTAACGCCGGGGGTAAGTAAACTTTTCCCATTTTAAAATTTTAACTCCACGCTATATGTGCATGTTGATTTAATCGAAATATTAACTAATCGGAAGCACATAAAGAATTAATTTTATATAAATTGAAATCTGAAAAGGAAAAAGAGCGTGTTTCAAATTTATCGATGTCTGCATATTCCATGATTCTCCACGCTTTAGATAGTGATCAAGTGAAGATAAAGTGAGGCAGACGTCGAGAATAAAAACAAATTGCAAGCCATCTCTTTTTATTCGAAAACGAAAAACATGTATTTAAAAACAGCGTAAAGAGATAAAAAGGTTAACATTATTAATAACATGCAATACATATTAAAAATCCAAAATAGTTAAACCCCTAAGAAAAACAGAAAGGGGTGTGTGGGGGGGGGGGGTTCGATACTCCAATTGCCTGTGTAAGTAATAGCACGCGTTGTTGCTAGTAAGTAGTTACATGTACATATCTTATTCGCTGCGTTGCTTTCCACGTTCATGAAGTAGAATCAATGTTATATGTATACATTGAAAGTCTAAGAACAAAATAAAAACGCTTTTTCTATCCTTATACGTATATATAAACATAAAATAAAAACAAGTTAAGATTCATTTTAGTTATTCGCTGCCTCTTTGTAAACTTAAACAAAAACATGTTCAGTATATACACTGAATGCATTAATGCTTATACTCGGGAGGACATTTGGCGGAAATTGATTCAGAAGAAGTTATTGTTGATTTGATAGCCTTGCTGAATTTACTAAAGAAAAGGGATATATGCAAAGCGTAAAAACATATTTCGGGGTTGGGGGTGTTATTTTCCTTGACTTCTATATTTTCCTCGTACCTACGACTTTTCAAACAAACTTAGATCACAGATTTCCGATTTCAACGGGGATTGGGAGTCTTTCTTTTCCAGAGGGGAATACAAAATCACTATTATTTTGCAAATTCCGGCGAGAATCCGCGCATAAAAAAAAGAAAGAAACGGTAAGAAATAAACACATAAAGAAAAAATATATATATAAAAAAAAACTAAAGGACTGATTGTTGGTTTACACCTTTTACGTGAATTTACCTAATATTAGACGTAATAAGCTGAAAGGGAAAAATGTTTTATATTTATTTTATTGAAATATTATGATACTGGTCATTTAAAAGCTGATATACGTGAATTTCCTTTTTCTTAAAATCCGTATAATTTTTTTGTGCTCTGTATACAGGATCGATATTCGCGACGTCAAGCGTGACGTCGCGATATATTATGACGCTGTTCTTAGAAATACTACATTTTTCAATCTAAAAATAATTATCTACAATTAAATTATGAAAAAATGAACCCAAAGACATATTAATTTTTTTTTTTACATAGATTTATTTCAAATCAATTCTATATTTAAATACCAAAGGATAAAAAATTCGTCTGAACGATTTCAAAGTTATTGATATTTTTTTGAAAATCATATTAAATGATGAAGCTAATCTCCCTGAATAAATTGATATATAGCATGTGTGCATATTTTAAAAAAAAATATGAGTTGGAGGGAGACGCAAACCTTACCTTAAAAGCAAATATCGTGAAAATATGGTGAAATTCATATGGAGTTCAGGTAATAAAACAGGTATGCTAATTTATTTTCATCGATTTGATTCTCTTTAGAAGCCAGTCAGCTATATATGTCTCCCAGTCAGCCTTAAAATTTTCTCTGTCATTGTGACAAAAAAAAAATCATCAGAACAACAATAAGCTGTATGTTTCAAAACATAAGATTTGTACAGATGGAAAGTTTGTCTTTTAAAATACTTGGAAATTGAACTAGAATCCCGAGTTCAGCATGGTTTTACGAAAATACTCGCTTCATATGTAAAAAAAAAATCCAAATCATTGGGTAAGGTTTCGTGCGAATGTGTGGAATAATTATTTTGCTGACGGGACGGTGAGTTTTAGGTGCACTTTTTAGGCAAAATAGATGTCATTTCAACTACATAATTTACTCAAAGAAAGTATTAAACTCCGGGGTATTCTTGTTCTGTCATCTTTTTTGCTAAGGAAAATTTGGCTATTAATAGAATTCAATTGATTTCGTTGTGGTGGTGCACGTTTTTGCAATAAATAATAATAGTTTACGTTTTTCAGAGGTTTTGGTAAATCATGAACTTAATTTTCCAAGTCTAAATTTCCCGAAAAATGAATTATATGCCTTCTTAACATATCCGTGTTCTGTTACGTTAAGAGAATCTTTTAAAGTATAGGAGTCAAGTAAAATCATTTTTACTTGTAGAAGAAACTCCATTCATAAAATATGAAGATGAAGAACGGGAAATGGAAGACAAGCAAGATGAAGATGCTGAAATTGCACTTTTGTCGGCAAATAAAAAAACCTTGGAAAAAGAAAATATTTCTTCGGACAGATATTCAAGTATGTAATTTTCTAATTCATAAAAATATCCAAAGTTATATTATAATTCAAGATAATAAATAATGAGAAAACAAATCTGATCGATAAAACTTTTAACGTGCAATCGAAAAATACAAATGTTATGAAATATTTCGGGTAATAATTGGCTTAGAATCATCAAACTTTGAGTAAAACACCATGCACGTTATTCTTTTATGAACAAGTGATCTTCACAATGTCATTTAGACAAGTATTTTTAAACGCGTATGGACTTATCATATTTTAATACCGATGATGGAGTCGATAGCAATATGTGAATATTATACTATCTTGCTTATTTAACCGATTATGGTGAAGCTTGAAGTTCTAAAACTCGCAAGATGTCGTCTTTAAAGTCATGGAATGCATTTAAAAATTCTAAGACAAAGGTTCTATGTTTCAGAATGCCTGAACTTTATGAGAGTTGTGTTTAAATCTCATAAATGAATCTGTGCCCTCTACAGACTGACTGACAGAGATTCCCTGAATCAAAACTTTCTTAAGTCAAAAAAACTTTTTTTTTCTCATTTTTAAGTTACTCGTGTCTCATCACACTAATAATTTTACATCACATTCGCAAGTATTTTTTGAACAAAAAAATACCCCAAAATTACCGACGCCATATTGTTATCCTGAGTCGTGAGAGGGCAAAAAACATACCGTATAGCGGGCATTTTTAGCAGGGTGCTAACGTTGGTTTGTTTCAGCGATTATATAACAACCTTATAAAATTGAAATCACTAACTTTGCACCTTTGTGTATAAGTGTTAACGACAAGAAGTTATCTTGGATCTGTATGTTGCTAAACAATGTATCTTTTATCTCTTATTAATTGCACTCAAACACCTGCGTTAATCGGTATCTAACGCAGATTAAACGAACGGAAAACTTATCTAATTAATGAACTTCTTCTTTTACAATCTCATTGAACTGCAAGTCCGCCAAAGGAAGTTCAACCAAAGTTATTGGCATTCATTTCAAGCAATACGCCATATTTTTACCCTCTAATGAAACTCTTTATACAGTATTTTTTAAAGATAACCCTGCATTAAACTTTATTTGATGGTGTATTGAATTATGAATGTTATTATAAAACCATTTATCATTCTTATTTAACAATATTACCCGCTATGCAGGGATAAGAGACAAAGATTAAGTTCAGTATGAGAATAATTATAAACATGAGATTTTTTTAAATGATGGAAATAAAGAACAATGGTAAATTATTATAACTGGGTACTTTTATCATATGATCTAAAAGTCTTTTTAAAAATGTATCTACACAAGCCAAAAAACTAGGATAGGGTGGTGTTATTACGACCACCTGGTTTATTTCGACCCTTCATAAAAACATCACACAAAATAAAAATCCACCATTTAATCGAGTGAATAATAACTGAATGCCCACTGAATGGTCACTGAAAGGTCACTGAAAAGACTCTCTCCGTGACCTTTCCGTGATCATTCAGTTACCATTCAGTCGACTGAATGGCACATACATTTCAGTGATCTTCTGTTATCATTCAGTTGCATCTTTTTATTGAATAATCGGATTATTTTGAAATTAAAGACTTTATTTCACTTTTTCCCGGTATAATAGCATCAAATTTATCTTATCCCGAATAAAAAAAAATGGGGAAAAAATTAATGCAAGTAAAAAAAATACGTGCACAAGGCCAGAATTGAACCCCGTGTCCTGCTTTACTGTCCGCGACCTTATCAATTACGCTACAACTTTTTTTTAAAATAAAACGGATTTAAAATCAATGAATTTGTAGAAATTACACAACACACATATCTTGTAAATCAAACACATTTATTTCATATTATGACCAAAAAATATATAGAAAATCAAAGTAAACTGACAGATAAAAGGTTTTTCGAAGGTAAAAGTATCCCATACAAGCTGTAGCATAACATAACAGTAACATACTTTTACAAATCTTAAGTACAAAAAAGAATCGGTCGAAAAAACACCAACCTACCCTAATTTATACATCTTCATCACCTAATCTGTATGAAACAACCTGTGAACAAGTTAATAGTCCTTTTGATTAAAATATTTTTCTCTTTAGATGAAATAAACAGAGAGAAATTTGAGGAAGAGCTGACAGAAAGGGATTCTGATGATAAATCCTTGTCAGATTGTATCATAGAAAAACAGGATGACCAACTATGTTTAGAAGAAACCAGCAAGACAGCAGACTCTTCATCTGAAGACATTAGCATAGAAAAATATTCCTTATTGAATAAAGATGTTTCAGACGAGATAGATAGTTATTCAAAACAAAAGGAGAACATTGATAAGATCAGTTCGGAAAAACTTGAGACAGGTGAGGTTGAACTTAGAGAATCCAATATAGGAAATCCACATTCCCATTTATTTTTTGACAAATAAGTCGAAACATTTACATCAGGTCAAATTTAAGCCTGTAGGTTTCGGTGCTCCTATTTGAAAAAAAAGAAACAAACAACCGATTTAAATTAATCTACTTGCAAAGGATTATAATACGTTTTAATTGAATATGTATTTTGTGTATTAAAAAAAATCCCTTAAATGTGACAAAAAAGAGTAACTGATAATTCTAGCATATAAAAATATAATTCTATCATGTATTGTGAATGAAATTTTGTTTTTGCATTTGCTTATCACATTTTATTTCTTGAAGTCTTAAAAATGTTTTTTTAACTATTAAGTGTTTAACCCATTTTTGAAGAATATGATGAAACATTGTATACAATAAGATTTGGAAATAATTTTTTCTACTGTCTATTTTTTACCGTTACTGATCTTTACAGTTAACAAAATCAAGTGATATTCTGATTTATTATTACACACCTATTAATAGGTAAATGATTTTTCATATGTGATATGACTGGCGTCACAATAGCCGTATCAGCCCTGCAGGGCTGATACGGCTATTGTGACGTCTATATCACACCCTTAGTAAATTAAACCACAAAAACAGTACGTGTGTTCATACACAATTTTGGTGGGTTCATATTCCCTTAATTTTAACTTTTTGAAAATAAGGTTAATCTTAATTTACAAATACATGTAATAAATTATTTTCAAATTACGGATCGAGTGCATTGAAATAGAAGTAGAAACAAACCCAAATCGTACGAGACTATAGACCATGTACATGTATGTAAGAAGTCCATGCATGATTATTTACTTTTTTTCTTCTCAACCTAATGCATGTTGTATTTTATTACTAAGTATGTAATAAACATATTTATACATACCATTTTCTACATCACATCCTGTATCAGCCCTCGGGACTTCGGCCATCTGGCTGATATTGATGTCTCAGGCTGATCCAGGATGTGATATACAAAAGGGTATGTATTATTATTATCTATAGATCGATTGCTATAAAAAGAGTTTGATAAAGATTAGTTTGCTTATATATTTCTTTAAACTTTGCTTTAATGCAAACATAGGGGTAGACAATAATTAGTGGCAACCATTAAAAGAATGCAAACGTCTCCTCAATATGTAAGACTTTATTTGACAAACTCACAGTTCTGAGGCGTGGATCCGGGAACAATGAATGGAAAATGTTTTGTTTTTTTAAGTATTGTCATCACAATGATTTGCAAGACCTTGTAAAATGTTGACATTGTATGACTCGATAGCAGCTTCCATTTCTTATTCCATAATTCAAGACTAATTATGTTGAAAATGAAATATTTTAGACTTTCAGAGGTGCTTTATTAATAAATCTTTTTCATTGTAAACGCATTTAATTATCGAAATCATTATTTTGTTAATATAGAATGGTAATCATTTAGTATTTTGGTAAATCCCCGCCCTCCTACCATATGTTAGAGACGGATATACTAATATTGGTTTTGTGAAAGAGCTATATACTGTAGATTGGCAAATAATCACGAAGGTTTGAATTTCACTAGGTTCGCGATTCAACATTTTCCATGAAATTAAACCCATCCTGAATGCTCTTATTAACAATTAAATACTTGTGCGAAATTTGAATTAAAACCATCGTAATTGGTATATCTCGTGAAATTTAAACAACGTGGAATTAAAACGACTTAAATTAATACGTAAAGTCTTTAAGTTTTTTAATGCTAATGATGCAGTAATTCTTTAGCTTTCTTTGTTAAAATTAATTTTATTTTTGCGATAACAATGTGTTGTTTTGGGGATTTCACAAAAATGTTGCTTTGAATCTTATTATTAATTTTACCTTTTTTAAACATGATCAATTTGTAAAAAATGCATTACATTTCAATTGTTGGGTACTCCACATAAAAATGTGTTTGTGAAACACTGATGCTCCCGTATGACAACATAATAAAGATTAAATTTTTCTTAAATGCAAATTTAATATACTTTTATAAAAAGAGGCGGATTCTCACTTTATATACAATTGTGAAATATGAAAGTAGACCAAAGTTAAAGGTTTGTCATAAGTATGGAAATCTTCAAAGTGAATGTCATTGGTACATGTATCCAATGAAAGGACTTGCAACAAAAATACAAATGTAAAGTATGGACGCACTAGCCCTTACCCTCCAGAAGCTATGGTCAAGGCTAAAAATAAAAAAAGGAAGTTAAACTCCAACTACAAGGTCAAAGGTCTCGCTATCAAATGAAAGGTCTTGTCAAAAAGATTAAATATGTAATGTATGAAATCACTATCCATAAACCTTTCAAAAATCATGGATAATGTTTGCTTTTTAAAAGTAGGCCAAGCTCCAAGGTAAAGATCAAAGGGTCAATGTATTTGGTATTCAAAAAAGGGTCTTTTCACAAGGATTACATACGTGAAGTATGGAAGCCATATCCATTCCTTTTTCGCCATGGTTAAAGTTTTTTTTTCCCACAGAAACAGAAATCACGAACGCCAAGGTCACAAGGTCAAAGTTGTTGATATCCAATGAAAGATCTTTTAACAAAGAATATATATGTGAATTAAAAATGTCGTTGTATCTACTGTTCAAAAGATATGGCCAAAGCAAAACTGAAATTTTTGTGTAAAAAGTGTCTCAAAATGGTCAAAAAAAGGTCAAAATGGTGGTACGCACCAAAAACAGGTCTTCTCGTAAGAAATATAGATGTGGAATAAGAAAGTCATAGCTCCAGTAAATCTAACGTTATTAGCAAAGTAAACGTTTTTGCGAACAAACAAATAGACAGACTGGCTGAAAGACAGCTAGACAGACGGACAACACAATACCCTAAAAACTTCGTTTACGGGGACTAAAAATTAAAAAAAAATTATGCTTTGCTACATGTACTCATTTGCATGTGTAAAGTCCTGTATGTAAATTTCAATTCTCCAGACAGAGACTTTTTCTGTTTAGATAAAATAAACAGAGAAAAAACTGAGGAAGAGGGAGGAGATTCGAAGTCCAATGATGAATCCTTGAAAACTGATATAGCAGAAAGACATGACAACACACTACATTTAGATGAAACCAATGAAACGACAGACCTCTCTTCAGAAAGCTACAGCGAAAAAGAAAATTTACCGCTTGCTGAAGAAGTTCAAGAATGGAGAATCAGGTATGCAGAACAGCAGGAGAAAAGTGACAGAATCAGTTCGGAAGAGCTAGATAAAGGTGAGATTGAAGTAATTTTAGAAAATACAATATTGGCAATTTGCAAATTTGCTTTTTGATTAATTTACCGATATTGCTCTTTAGTGAGTAGACGAATTACTTGAAATTGTGCTCAAAACGTTCGTTTTTCTACGTTATTGGTCGTAGTGGTACAGCGCTTGATGTATGTATAATCAGGAGATACTGGGTCAATAATTGTTCCCAATGCCAATGCAGCGTCAAACTTGAATTAAAAATATCCCTACTTTGGTGAATCTTTTAGAAAGTTTCTCATATAATTATCAAACATTGACCCTTTACTTCCAAAAAATATTATTTTTTTTAGTTTGTTTACAATCATATAGATAAATTTGATCTATTTTCAGTTGGTATATATCTTGATGACTATGAAATATGGAAAACAGAGATTTCAGGTAAAGAAATGTCTCATCGTTTGCTATTTTTGTTATTTCAATTAAAGTTACATAATTGATTGATAGTATCAGAATGTATATTGTTTAACGTCCGATTCGAGATGTTTTTACTCATATAGTGAGTAACATATGTAACCTTACGCCGTAGATGGGCCCAAAAAAGATAAGATTACAAAATTATGTTTTTCTCTTTTTCTCTTTTTCTACACTACAATTAATAATTATATTAAATCTAAATTAAACCTTTTGTGTTGTTTGCATTGTTCATTATTTTCAAGAATACCGCATTATCTTTGGATTTTTAGACACTATATTAACACAATTAAGCCTGGTTTGTGACCGTTTGGTCTTTTACGAGTAAAGATATGTAGAACAGACGGGTGAAAGTACAAAAGAGGCATATGGATTTCCGAGAAATATGGTAATCTTAATTAATTCACTCAAATTTCAGTGCCTCCTATTATTTCATAGAAGTATAAGTACGTTACTTGAACCTATTCATAATTCCATGGACAGTTTAACTTGTTATTAAATCTGGAGAAAAAATAAACAAATACAGCTATATTTAAGATTATAATATTCCAACATTCATATTATTTTACCTGGATATTATTTCATTTTTTAAGGTAAAAACCATGTTCTACTTTTGCTTTCGGCGCCGCATCAATCCTTAGATTTTTAGCATTGATAATGGGTGTTTGATCAACAAGAACGCTTGCATAAAAAGTGAAAAACATAAATAATGATTATTTCGGGTGAGACCTTCAAATTAGGACCCCTTTCACGCACAAAAGAACTCGTGCAGCCAAGAGTGCAAAGTCTTAATTTTAAATCCGTTCGCCACTTATACGGCGTTGTCTCAGATGAGTAAAAATTCTCACAGGAGACATAAAACCTGATCCAATTTAATCGTCAGAACTGAGATGAAACACACCCTTTAAGCTTGGTTTAATGGTGGCTTATAGGTCCTTAATGATGGTTTAATGATTGTCTTTAAGTCACCATTAAGCGCCTTTAAGTAACATTCACACCACCATTAAGTTACCATGAGGCCATCTCAAAGTCCTAAATAGGTGCTTAAATATAGCTTAATGGTAGCTTACAGGTCCTTAATGTTAGCTTTTAGACCACCATTAAGTCACAATTAAACTACCATTAAGCTAGACTTACAGATGCTTTATGTCCAAAAACTCTATAAAGTTACCATTAAGCTACCATTAAGCCATCATTAAGGTCTTCCTTTTCTAAAGGAAGACCTTCTACTGATTCTGAAGATTGAGATTATTAAGGTCTCCCGCTCAGGCGGAAGACCTTCTACTGATTCTGATGGTTACGATTATTCCTATTATTCTTTTTTTTCCTAGACGCCAACTTTGAGACCTCGTAACTCGCTCATTTCTTAACGGATTTCGATCAAATTTTCAGAGTTTTTGGACGTTACAAAACTCAATTCAAATGTTTTCATACATTTCAAAAATTTCCTTCCGCTTTTGAGTTATTTCCCTTTAATTGAAAATTTGGTGCTGTTTGTTTCCAGACAAAGGCTCAGAAACGACAAAAGCTGGAGCAGAATGTCTACTGCATTTAAATACTAGAAGAATTGAAGTTGTGCACATCGGTTTTTCTTTTTCGATTTCTGCGCTCAAAACAGTGCTAGATAAGGGTAAAAAATAAGAATGCCTAAAAGCGCAAAAATTTACATCTATTTCCTTATGTATCTTTTAAACTAAAAATAATTTGTTAAGACATGTTTCACAAATATTGTGCATAATTTTAAGATCTATCATTTGACATCATTAAAAAGGGGCTGGCCCCTTAAATTACGGGCCAAGGGCGCTCGAAAGTTTTTGCTTTATAACTTAAAAACGGTAAATATTTCGATATGATTATCGATTTGAAATGGGTTCTTCAGCATCTTATTGATCTCATGAAAACGTAATTTTGTTTTAGTCATGTTTTATTAGATGAGCAGAAAACTTTATAGTCCATGTACAGGTAAGTGATTTTATACGGCAAGTGAAGAAGAATTCTATATGCGTACGCGTATAACACGTATAACTGAAATTAACTGGATAAGAATAATATACCTAGCTAAATTGAATGTTTAACTTTGTTGAAATAAGAATTTTAACGTATTCTCTAGCTGGATGTCATACAGATTATTCAGAGACAACTTTCTCCCTGTGTTTACTGTAAAGAACAAGACGGGAGAGAGGAAATATTTTTAAGTATTAATTATTTATTAAAAAAAAAATTCAAGCTTAAGATAATTCACTGTCATTCAATTCATGCATCGTGAATTTTACTCGGACCCTGAAAGTTTCGTGTGTACAGTGTGCGTGTTTTGTGTGTACAGTTATCACATGGTTATGAAACCCGTTTATCGATCGCGCATTGAACTGTATACATTCGTGAGGTCAACATTACCGTTGTTTGATTTTTACTAGAGTCCTAGATTTAAGATCAAGAAAACATGTCATTTGTGCTAATCGTAAGAATATTTCTTTACACAAATTTTAAGGTTTTCTTGAACATGATTTAAAAGTGTTGAATGTCGGATTCTATTCTTTGACGAATAAATAAAAGGTGCTGCGTATACGCGCGCTTTTCTCATCTGCTAAGGTATCTATGGACGAGTTCATCGGTTACACTGAAGGGTGACACAGGATGACCTATCGATGACTCTGCCAATATTGATAGTGATTTTAATTGCACATATACCATTAACATGATAAATTAATGTTCAATTCTACCCTTGTGAAGTCCATTATAGTCTCATTATTTAAAAAAATTGGGGATATCAATACTGCAACTTGTTTTTGATTTGTGCGGATGATTCTATTATTGGAAAGGTACACACGTAGTACGACGATTTTTTAGGCCCCGTCTCCCCCTCTACTTTGAAGTAATTGCAATTGTTACATGTATACGGGCCTATATCAAGTTATTCTAATTGATTTATATCAGAAAAATTTGCGATGTTGTTTAAATTAGCAAATATCTTGCAATGTTTATACATTGCACAGTAAATTGTAAGTGAAAGTGACGTTTCCAATTCTCATGAAAATCGCAAATGAAGCAACTTGGAGATTTGCATGAATTGATACATAACTCATAATTGCATTGTACCGAATATATTCCTTTTATTTCCTCGAATAAAAAGAATATCCCTATGATATGATTTTACGGGTACATGATGGTAACTAAATACATGCTATTTTACACGGAAGAACCCCCAAAATATATACATTCCGAGCTTTCAGAATACGAGAGAAAAAAAAATGAATAATTAGAAATTTTTTTTAACAAATTCAAAATTGTTTCTGAGAAAGCCATGTAGTTGCATACAAATATTCCAAGCCATTCTTTCGTGTTAATTGGACTAAAAGTGATAATTAAATTTCCTCTCACCGTGATACGTAACCCCCCTTCCCTCAAATGATATGTTTTCCTTCAGAGTCGAGAATGTCAGTTGGTTAGTTTGTTCAGGTACGTACAGGTCAGGACTGGTGTTGAAATCCATGATTAATCAATAACCTATTTTAATGTTAACCAACAATCATACGCGACTTTTTTTTTATTCACAGGTCGTCAAATAAATAAAAACTAGAAGTACTGTGAGCAATGATCTCACTAAATGATACCCCCCGCCTCCCATATGAATATATTGGAAGTATCTATGTTTTGTTTTGGAAAATCCAAAATATAAGTCAAATCAAAAAGTAAAATAGGAGGTGCACAATGGCAATATGTAATAAAGATTCTGTGAAAGTTTCATTAAATTTCCTTCAGTGGTATGAGAGGAGTTGCGGATAAGAGATGGGTACCCCAAAGCGTAACAGACGGACGGACGGACAGACGGAAGGACGGACGGACAGACGGACGGACGGACGGACAGACGTACAGACGGACGGAAATACCGATTACTATATACCCTCCCGCTTTTCAAGCGGGGGGTATAAAAAGATAAGTATGCGTCAAGCAATAAAAAGTTAAAGTACGTTTGTTTTTATGCCCCCGTAAACGAAGTTTCGGGGGCATATAGTTTTTGTCGTGTCTGTCTGTCTGTCTGTCTGTCTGTCTCTCTGTTTGTCTGTTTGTCCGCAAAAACTTTAACCTTGCCCATAACTTTTGATTTAGTTGAGCTATGACTTTCATACTTCATATGTGTATTCCTTGTGACAAGACCTTTCTTTGAGTACCACCAAATTTGACCTTTTGACCTTGACCTTGGAGTTTGACCCAATTTTACATGAAAATTTTAAAATTTTACTTTGGCCATATCTTTTGAGCAATAGATACCAAGACATTTATACTTCACATATGTAATGTTTGTTAAAAGACCTTTCACTGGAGACCAACAACCTTGACCTTTTGACCTTCACCTTGTAGATTTCAGTACTTGTGAAAAAACTTTAACCTTTGCCATAACTTTTGAACAATTAGGGATAGGGCTTTCATACTTCATATATGTACTCCTTGTGAAAATACCCTTTATTAGATACCAAGAACTTTGACCCTTTGACCTTGACCCTTGAGATTGACTTACTTTAAAAAAGCAAACCTTGACCATGACTTTTAAAGATTAAGTCTAGTGCTTTTATACTTTACATATTTAATCCTTATGACAAGACCTTTCATTTGATAACAATAACTTTGACCCTTTGACCTTGACCTTGGAGTTTGACCCACTTTTACATGAAAATTTTAAAATTTTACTGTGGCCATATCTTTTGAACAAAAGACACCAGGACATTTATACTTCACATATGTAATGTTTGTTAAAAGACCTTTCACTGGATACCAACAACCTTGACCCTTTGACCTTGACCATGTAGATTTCCGTACTTGTGAAAAAAAAACTTCAACCTTGGCCATAACTTTTGAACGGTAAGGGATAGGGCTTTCATACTTCATATATGTAATCCTTGTGAGAAGACCCTTTATTAGATACCAAGAACTTTGACCCTTTGACCTTGATCCTTGAGATTGACCTACTT